TTCCATTCCCTCCTGTGCACTGGCACTCTTGCCCACACACTCTCTCTTCCCCCATTTCCACTACCCTATCTTACCTGGGTTTTTGCAGTGGTTTCCCTACAAGTCACTGAGCTACAAGTCTTTCTCCTCCAAACCGTGTTGCACACTGTTAACAGATTTGCCTTTCTAAAGCACACTCTGCTTGCCGCTCATCTTATGCTGAAAGCTTTTATTACACATTTTTCTACATCAGAAAATCCAAACCCTTACTCTAGTGTACCTTTCAACCCTGTTTTTCACTACTTCATTTTCAGCTAGTTATTGAAACTAAACTATTCTTTCTCATCTTGTATTTACCTGTCTTTGCCTTTGCTCATGGTTTTGTTTGTTTTGTTTTTTTCCCCCTGAAATATTTCCCCCATCTCTGCATATCTGAGGCATGATTCTTAGACTCACCTCCCCGATCTGAACAAAAACATGCACACACAAACCAATACATACTGCCCACTTGGAGTTAATGACTGCTTCTTCTGAACTGGCTTAGGACTTTATCTGAAACCTTTTTAATTTTTTTATCTTATAGCTTGAATTATATTTATTTTTACTCTGCCTTATTTCAGGAACTATTTGGAGCAACTTAGAAACAAATAACACAAGAAAAAATGAAAATTGGCAAAATCTGGATAAAGGGAATATAGATGAGATGAAGCCAGTGATGGCATTAGTTCCTGTAGGCTTACTAGAGGTGTTCCACACATTTGGTTCTAAGATATAGAGCAGCCAGAACAAAATCAGATACATCAGGTATGGAAGTCTTACAAAGAACACAAAAGTTATTCAGAACCAGCTCTTCCTGGTTCCAAGGCCAGACAGCAGTCTCTTGAGGACCCATTGTATAAATAGTTGCTTTGTAGAAGTACAGTGATTTCTGTCCATGTGGTTTCCTGCATAATCTTTCCAGTGTCCTTGAGAGTAGGATCTGAGTATACCCGTAGTACCTAACAGAACTTTGCAAATAACCGTTTGTCCAGTTTAAGTCAATGTTAAAATGTTTGTCTTCTTGAAACTTTGAACTTGCAGTCTTAGCTCCACCCTTTGGGACTACATATAAAGTCTAATCCAGAGGTCACAATTTATTTGTACAGAGACCAGGGAAGTAGTATAAAGGTGTGAACAGCACAGGTGTCAATAAAGAGTCTTGTGAAGGATTGGGACAGTGCTGTCTTAGAAAAGGAATTCAAATTCTTTTTTTTTTTTTCTTTAAATACTGTGCTAGCTAAATAAAACAGCTAGAGTACAGTTCAGGTGCTGCTAGTATTACCTCTTGTTGATCCCTTTCCCCTCACAAAATCATGACCATATTTCAGAAAATATTTATTACATACCTTTACCTTTCAAATAATTTATTCTGTCAGATTTTTGAGTTCATTTTTGTTTTGGGGTTAACTCTACTCAAAAACTCATTGAATTGTTTTCAGTAGTACTTAAAATCATAGGTTAGGTTTATTAATTTAAGAAAGCCTACAATATACTTTGCATTATGCTTATTATTTTTGTAAATATTATATGATTAAATTACATTATTTGTTATTTTAGGGTATAAATAGTTTTGAAGTTCAGAAACAAAACTGTTGCTGGCTCCTGGTTACACACAAACCTTGTGTAAAAGATGATGTGGTAAGTTTTTATATATAAATTTAGAAATAAACTTAAATTCACAGTTACTTTAAATACATATGAAAAGAATAGAAAATTCAAGGTGATTTTTGTGTATAATTATAATGGCTGAAGATTATACAGCCAGAGAGCTTTCATTACAATGGCTTTTTTGGGTTGTAGGAGATAAAAATGTGCAAGTAAAAATATGCAGGCATTACTTACTGCTGCTTAACAAAACATCCTCTTCGACATAGCAGAAAGTTCATGGACATTGGACACAATTTAGATCCAAATATCTTTCACTTCTGGCATTTAATAACTCTGTAACCTGGGACAAATTATAGAAGGAGAAGGGGATCAGCACTATCTATATTTTATCAGCTTCACTGATGTAAATAAATTATACATTATTTACCTGGATTGCTTCTTGAAAATCTTCGTATCTGTGGTGGGTTATTTAATTTCCCAAATTAAAGTGTTTAGGTGAATTCATATAAGTTTGTGTTAGCCAGGCCCTCTTCATTCCCACTGAATTTAGAAATTCAATTATGTCTTAAGCAAAGAAGATAATTTATTTAACTGGAAAGGACAGGGTGGAGCTAGAACAGGCACTGCTGATTCAGATTCTCAGATGTTGTCTTCAGAGTGCTCACTCCATCTCCATCTCTGGGTACTGGTCCTCTCTTCGTGTTTGCCTTTATTCTCTACTGCTGCAGATGGTCTTCTTTGTGGCAGGAATGATAGCTGCCAGCAACCCCAGCAGAAAAAAGATTTCTTTTTCCTAAGATTCATGTATCAGCTTCCAGAGAAGGACTCTGAGTTGTTCTGCGTGGATTAGGTGTGCTCTCCCTTAGATCAATTATTTTTGCTAGTGGGATGGAATAATATCCTCAGTCAGACATAGGCAATTGGTACCTCCGATATTATGATAGGGAGAGTGATGAGTGACAGCGCCATGATTGACAGTCCCACTAGAATCAGATGGTGTGAAGGAGGGGGGATGCTGCCCAGGGAAATAATAACTCTCCTGTATAAATTCTAGCTCAGACATAACATTACATATTTCACGAGGTGGTCAGGCAGTACCACAGGATAGACTATAATACAAGTGCAGCCAGGGTAAAGAGGTGGTAAGAGCAACCCAGAGAAGAGACCGGTGCATGACTCAAGGTTATTAAGAACAGAGAGCGCATACACCAGGCTCAAGTGGTATAGTGTTTACTTACAACAAGAGGAAAGAGACAGTATACAAGATCCAGCCCTTTGCAATGAGTCAGTCCCCATGGCTAGCAGATCGTCCCACAGCTGATGCAGGCAGCGTGGCTGCACCCACCTCACTTCATACTGCAGTAAAAGGACCCCAACCCTTGCCCCGTGGGGTCCAGAATAAAAAAAGCTGGGGACATACATGAGGGCTACTGATCCACATGTGGCTAAGCAGTTCCAAGGGAAGTTTACATGTGCCCAGTTCCAAGGAGCAGGAACACACTGGCTGTGCCCTGAGCTCTTTGTATACAATGCGATTTGTGACTTACCAGTGCTCCTGGTTCCTCTTGGGAATGAAGGGGAGGCATCAGGCTGTGCGTGGACCCTTCTCTCACATCACAATTTGCGTCTATCTCAATTTAATAACAAAGAATTTAAACAGTTCTCCTAGTACAGTTTTTATTATATCACATTCCTTAATGAAAAGTCTGTTACAGAATTAAATACATTTGTAGCTTACTTTTTCAAGGTACAGTTATAAATGGAAAAAAATGGTACAGAAGGTTTATGGGAGAATTGGAAATGAGGTCTTTTAAGAAAATTAAAAAATTAATAAGTTTTTGGTGAAAGAAAACCAAGACAGCAGAGGGAATAGTTACTGCAGAAAAAGTATGCTGAGCGTCTGAAAGTTTCTATGAAAAATGTAGTTATATATGGGGCAAAGGGTCACCAAAGGACAGGATCATACAGTGGGGTCTGATATTATCACTTTTCATTTATCTAGATTATAGCGCTGAGGAAAGCAAATGGTGATGCCATTTTGAAATTTGAACCATTTGTTCTTCATGTGCAGTGTCGACAGTTGCAGGATGCACAGATTCTGGTAAAATTTTGTAATAATACTGGAAGTTATAGGTCTTTGGGTATATTTAATTTTAGGTTTTAAATCTTCTATAAAAAGTAATGTGATATTAATGTTAGTTTATTCAACTAGTTTTTAATTATTCATTTGTTAGATCAGTCTATTTATTTACTTATTTATTTATTTTTAGTATTAGGAAAAAAGAGTAACTAATAATTACTAGCAAAACATAATATCCAAATTGTGGTTCCTCTTTTCTTCCTTAACCTTTCTATTTATAAATTTTGCCTCAACATTTTATATTTTGTTTTTGCTTGTTAAGCTTTTAGAAAAAATATTGTGGAACTGTATGTAAAATTAAGTGTTTTAAAGAATATTTCATTTTCTCGTCATTTAAATAAGTATTAGGTAAACATCTGTTTAGTCTTCATTCTCTATTTCATCTCCTTGTTCATCTTTATACTTTTTATGTGTTTATATGTAAATTTAAATTTCATTGCGAGCATTCATTCAACAAAAACGCATGCCCATGTATCAGGCACTAGCTGTACAGTGATGAACGAGGTTAGTGACTGTCTTGGTTTCTTCCTAAAAGTTGGGAGACAACAAAAACAAATAAGTGAACAGGCAAATAAAGAAAACAACTCCAATTTGCTAAATGTTCTAGGAAAGAAAAAAACAAGCTAGTAAGAGAATAGCGTGAAGGGCAGCCTACTTTAGGACAGGCTCCTCTGAAGAGGTTTCTTTAAGCTAAGACTTAAAGGGACAGGAAGAGCTAGGCATGTAAGTGGGAAAATGAACATTCCAGGCAGATGGAAAGGTATATGCAAAGCTTCTGTAGCAAGAAGAGCTTGGTGTGTTCACAGAACAGAAAGAACAGTGGGTCTAGAGAGGAAATGGAAAGAGAGGGTGAGAGAAGGAGGCCAAGTGGTTTAGGGCCTTGTAGACCAAGATAAAAAGTTCTGATTGTTTTCTGAGTGCAAGGAGAAGTTATTGAAGGGACAGTTCTAAGCAAGGGGTGGCCGAATGAGGTTTTTGTTCTGAAAAGCTCAATTCTGCTCCAGCTTAGAGAAAGGAATGCAGTAAGTGGAATCAGTTAGGAGTTGGTCGCAGTGATCTAAGTGGGAAATGGTGGTGGCTTGGCCGAAGGTGATAACACCGAAGAAGGCGAGATGGGGATAGAGTCAAAATATATTTGTGTTTAAATCAACAAACTTGTGGGGTTGCCTAGGAAGGACAGCCAGAGGGAGAAGGGATAAAAAGGATCAAGTATAACTCTTTAGGTCTGGCTTGAGCAGCTGGATGTATGGCAGTTCCTTTACTCAGATGGGGAGTGCTGGAGGTTGAAGGGGTGAGAATCAAGAATTTGAATTCTCTCTTAATTATAAAGTATCTTTTTTTTTATGTTCTATGCAAATACTATGCCATTTCATTTTATTGTTATTTTAACATTTATGTGTACATATTTGTGGGGAACAGTGTGTTGTTTCAGTACATGCACATACTGCACAATGAATAGTTTTGTATCTTAGTCCACTACTTCTCCTCCTCACCCCACCTGCCAGTCTCGCCATTTTATTGTTATTTTAACATTTATGTGTACATATTTGTGGGGAACAGTGTGTTGTTTCAGCACATGCACATACTGCACAATGAATAGTTTTGTATCTTAGTCCACTACTTCTCCTCCTCACCCCACCTGCCAGTCTCGTACCCATTGTTCTACTCACTACTTCTATGAAAACCGCTCAAGGATATGAAAAAATGTTCAAAATCACTAATCATCAGGGAAATGTAAATTAATATCACCTTCTGTTGTAGCTCCCTAGACTCTCCTATTTTCTATTTTCTTTTTTTT